GACCCACAAAAGCAGACCCCGGGTTTTCCTGGGACTCCCAGAAATTGGAGATGTGTCACCCAAACAATGTGACCCCGGGGAGATGGCCGCTCGGCCAGAGGTTCTACCCCTGGCGACACCTTGGGTGGTGGTAACAAGCACCCCTCTGTTCCTCACTACCCTCGGGGATCCTGCGCTGCCCCTCGGAGACACTTGGCAGCCTCCGTACCTAGTCAATGGACTTTCTTAAATAAACTAATTTTATTTCCAAGCGATTTTTGTGCCCCACGGGGCATGAACATACATACAGAGGGAGGCATTTCCACGTTGGGGGGGGGGGTGGGGAGGTGCGGGCTGGAAGTCAGAGTCACTTGTTGGGGTTTAAAGGGTGATTCATGAGTCTTTGGACAGACAGGAGCTACCCACGGGCGGCCGCCGAATTTATTCACAGGCAAAGCCGGCATCACCAAGAGTGATGAGCTGTATTGTGCTGATAGACGGCGAGTTAAAAATAAAGGATGGAGGGAGAGCTGTAGGTTAAGAGAAACTTAGGAGATACATCAGATTTAAATAGAGGGGCGAGACTGAGGCGTCTGAGGATGCATATTTGGGGGTAAAAACCAGTTCCTGTGAAGTCAGGATGAGGGCTGCTCACGAGGCAGGGAGAGAGGGAGCTGGTCAAGGAAGGCCGAGGCCAGTGAACGAAGGCTTACATTGCGTTGTGTGGTCTCTCTGTAAGAGCCATTTGTTTTCTTATAAAAGTGTATAAATAGCAAAGGAATGTCTGGTAGGAGAGTTTAGTTCTACCGAGAGCTGACATACCATCTTCCACGTACCGGTACTAGTCAGAAACTAATCTTTTTTTCTGGTGTATTTTTTTCAAATATTTAGAACCTTTTCTATCACAAGGGATGCTTAAAAGCCAGGCTCTCTAACCCCAACACCAAAGAGAAAGTCTATGCAGGGCCCGGCAAATTGATGCCAATCTTTAAAAAAAAAAATACTTGTCAAAAATATACAAGTAGCTGCCATCAACCAAATAAAGTCAGAACAGACTCAATACCATCATTCTACAAAGTGAATTTTCTGCCTCCCCTCTCTGCCCTCCCCTCCCGCACCTGCTATGCCTCGACTAGAGAAGGCATCGTCTCACAGGCTGGGTGTACTCAGTTGACAGGGTGCACACCTACTTCTGAAAATATCCTGTTACAACACAGAGGCGGGAAAAATAGAATCATTCCGGGGCCCTTGCAATGTTCCTTTGGACCATCCCCTAATTCATCACGGACAGGCAATCTGATTGTTATAAATTTTATTAGAATGATAGAAAAGAATACATACAGATAACCATAGGATACACGCACAGAAATGTAAAGATACTTTTTATACTTTTCAATATGAAACAATGTACAAATCTCATGGAGATATCTTGCTAGAAACGCCATAGGACACAGAGCAATGGTGTTGAAGATGGAAGCATAGGAATCACTATGTCATAAAGAGGTACCGCTCCATTACGTGGGGCTGCACATACCGGTACTGGAGAGGGCGCGGCCTCTGTTTTTGACTGAAGGAGCAATGGTTAGATTTTTCCTCGGTATTTACAGTATATACAGACCTTGCGGAGAGAGTTATACATATTCTTCTCCTCTGCGTAGGACGACTTTATCTTAAATGAAATTTCTAAACGAAAAAGCAAGGCTTTATGCTTTCTGGTACATGAAACTGTTGGCTTCAAATTCTGAGAATGCTGCAGAGAAGAACAAGTTTCTGCAAAAATGTGAAATTGGTAAAAAAAAAAAAGAGAGAGGTAAAAAATTGTTTTTGCCTCGTCTGACACTCAATCTGCGGATTTCACGTTATTCTCTGCATATTGCTCTGAAGCCGCGTCCTTGAAAAGCCTTTGAAAACCGCACACATCACAGTCAGCAGCCTCGCCCGGCTCTATTACAAATTTACCGCAGAAACTAAAAAGCCTCTCCCAGATAGACCCGTTGGATTTCATTTAAGAAAAAAAAGCCCATCTCTGTCACCCCAAAAAAGAGAGGGCCTCTTAATGGAACCCGACATTGGAAATGAAAAGCCGTGTGGATTTTGTTTAATGTCTGGGTTGAGATTCAGGTCCTTCCTTCTCGTGCCCACGGGGTTTTAATAAAAGCTGCAACTTGTTCCTAGGCGTGAAGGACACAAGTCATGCTTATTATTATTTTTTTTAATTTTTGAGAAGGAGAAAGCGTGACCCTTCCAATTTCACAGCGTCTTTGAATGAAACAAAAGCCCGCTCTGGAATTGGCTGTGGGCTGTGAAAACGCTGCAATCCTCGAATCTGCTGTGAACACACTCGCACCGTGGTCTGCACAGCGCAGGCAGCCCTGCTCACGCCTCCTTCCTTCTCTGTTCCAAGTCCTTCCCGGGGCCAAGGCAGGTAAGGGGGGTGTGACCGTCCCCACGGTTTACAGATGAGTTTTGGGTAAAGTGGCGTGGGAAGAATCCCACCCCCTCCCTAGGACACTGGGGCCAAACAGCCCCCTCTGGGGCCCCCAGGGCAGCGTTTTCCAACCCTCCTTCGAATCCCAGGCACCCTCTTCAGGACAGGGCAGTTTCTAAAGGCGTTTTTGACCCCTTCGAAATAACACTGACCACTCTCCAAGCACTGCTGCTCTCTCCCAAGCACTGCTGCTCTGGCGGGGGGACCTAACTTTTCGACTCAATGAGCTTCTCTGCATGAATAAAAGACACAACAAACAGACGTGTGTCCGCGTGGGAGGATGGGCATCTTCACCCACAGGCAGTGTGTAGAACCATCGCTTACAGACACCTCTAGGGTGTCCCCCCAAAAATGTGTACCCCCTTCCACAGCCTATAGCTCCATTTTGAGAATGAAATGCATTTTAATAAACACCGCCTTTATAGTTATTCAACGTGTGTTGAATTTTTGGGGGGATACCCTCTGTATCAAAAGTCTGAAATACATAATATATATATAAAGTCCTTTGGTTTATCAAGTATTAAGGCATTTCAGATTCCCCTAAAAGGATGTACTGCTTGTCTTTGAATTATATTTGTATTTTACCTGCGTAGAAAGTTAAAAATACAGAGTTGGGGGTGGGGGGAAACCATGCATAATCACTGCATTTCATGAAAGCACTTTTTTTTTTTTTGTAACCAATTAACTTGCAGTAAATAGTAAAAAAGAGTTGCTATCACCACAGGGCATGAGCCACGCACAGGACTGCCGGCAGGTAGCGTGACACGGGGTGGACGTTGGCGATGGCCGACGGGGAGCCCCTGGCGTCCGAACCTGTCGAGGTGAGAGACAGCTGGTTACTACGGCTCCTGCATCACCGGCCACGGCAAGACCCCGCTCTTCCTCTCAGAGCAGGAAGGACCACACGTCATGATCAGCGCCTTCTGTTTACAGTGGGGCACATGTTAGCTGCCAAGGGGATCTATGAACACACTGGTCCCTTCCCTCCCTCCCCTCCCATTCCTTCTCCCTTCCCTTCCCTTCCC